CACTGTCACTACAAATATCATAAAAGACTCGTCATTAACAATTCCGTTTTAGTATCTTTACTATTGTATATAATGTTATTCGATAAAATCAGATGCAATATTGTATCAAATGCTGAAAATCCCACACTGTGACATTAGTACTGTTTTGGAATAAAGCAAATTATTATGTTATTATTATTATCATTATTTGTATGCTAACCAGGTCACTCTTCCATGAACGCATTCATCAAATGTAACGCCAAACAATTGCAGTCTTTATTATGGATAAGATTTTATTTTGATAAATCACACAGTGTGTTATACAGTAAAATTAACTGATGACCACGTTTCGAGCACAATTTATTACTACTGCTCATAATCACATCAAGTCACTGACTCACACAACTTTTTACTTCATTTATATACATGAATGTCTAACAAACCGAGCAATGGTACTAAGTAGTACATAAAAGACCTAAATGATGAAATAAAACAGATAGAAGAGGCGTTGGTGTTAAATAACTATCCTTTGAGATTCGTTAGGAAGATCGAAAAAGGCCAAAAACAAAGTAAAAATAATGGTGAAACTAATAATGATGACATAAATAAGAGAGAATATAGGGCATCCACTGTTATACCGTATAAGGAGGGGACATCTGAGACCCTCCCTAAGTAGGATTCTGAATAAAACAGGAATTAGAGTGGCATTGAAACCTACAAACTCACTCAGGTAGGACAAGCTCTGTAGGTTTAAGGACTCTGTCGGTGGACCCAATTAGACAGAATGATATAATTTACAATATACCTTACAATGACTGTGAATTAGGTCACCTACATAGGTCAAACTAGTAGATCGGGGGTAGTGAGATTATTAGGACATAAGAATTTAGCTAAGGTAAGAATCACTGACCCCGAAAACATAAGTAATTTAGAAAAAAGCACTCAGCAATCGCAATGCATGCATTAATACACAACCACACACAATAGGGTGGGTTGGAGAGGGTTAAAATTCTAAGAAGCCATATAGGTAGGTGGAGAAAGAGAGAGATTGATTGATTACTGAATCCTGCCTGGTTCACCGAGTCTACACCCAACACATGCAACAGAAATGACTTAGCGCAAATATCAGAGATATGGAAGATATTATTACCACCATTCAAATCAAAGGATGATAATAAATAATCTTAAAATTCTATTTCAGTTCACATACATTCTAACTTTCTAACAAGTTACTTATTTATTTTACTTTAAAAACATCTTAATTCACGTCTGATTGTATTTGATTGACAACACTCATGTTATTATTTCTGAGTGTACATTATCTTACACTGATTTTATTCAAATGTCTAATCATCAATTTTTACTCATGTATATAAATGAAGCAAAAAAGCTGTGTGAGTGAGTGACTTGATATGATTATGAGCAATAATTTCTGCTCCAAATATGGTCATCAGTGAATATTACTATATAATACTGTGTGATTTATCAAAATAAAATTTTATCTATAATGGAGTTACCTACCTGGGAAGCACCGTCTCAACTACAGGCGGAACTGACGAGGATATCAAAGCAAGAATCGGAAAAGCAAGACAAGCTTTCACTACTCTCAAGTCTGTGTGGAGGTCAACAGCACTCAGCATGAAAATGAAAATAAGATGCGGATTTTCAACTCCAATGTGAAGTCAATGCTACTATACGGATGGATCAGAGACTTGCACTGCGCGTCATAAAGAGCATCTCAAACAAACTACAGACCTTCATTAACAGTTGTCTTCGCTCAATACCACTCAAGATCAGATGGCCAGAAAAGATCAGCAACAGAGATCTCTGGTTTTCAGCGAACTAACTCAGCAGGAACCGACTGTGAAACAAATAGGCAGGAGGAAATGGAGATGGATTGGCTGGCCATACTCTGAGGAAACAGTGCATCAAGTGACATCACTAGACAAGCCATTGCTCGAGTGGACCCCGGATGGAAAGCGGCGAGCTGGTCGTCAGTGCGAGGGTGGGTGACTTGGAGGAGGTGATGTGAAGAGGAGATGAAAACATGTGGGCAAACTTGGAGCCAGGTGAAGACTCTAGCAGAGAACCGAACGTAATGGAGACGCACGGCTGAAGCCCTATATTCCTCTAGGAATTAAATGAAACAATAATAATAATCGAGTTATGCTCTACCACAGTGCCTAGGTTTTATCCTTATATCAGTAGTAGCCTTTGTCTGCCAGTCTTATTAGAGGGAGACGAAAAGACACAGCCTAAGTGATAATCATTCTATTTTCATTAATTTTGTTTTGTGATTTTATCTGTTTGTACGTCTGCTTTTCTGTTTGATTATTTTCTACTTTCTTTTTCAAAACAATTCAATTGTCAATATTTTAAAATTCAGATAACATTGTCAATGTTTAGTGTTTAGTCTAATCTGATTTTTTTTTTCAAAATGACTTTGTCCACATTTATGTAGTTTTTTTAGTGACGTCATTTGTAAAAAAATAATTTTTATAGATGCATGGATGCATGTATGTATGCATGTACGTGTACCTTATTATTATCACATGATGCTTAACTTCGATTGATTTCCCGCCAATATTTGTTTAAATCAGTCATTTGTTCAATGTCTATTGAACACTGCTAGTATGTCATGGTAATTAATCATGGCATATTTTGTACACTAAAAAAAAGTTATAAAGTTAATTGTATATGGTGTCTGTGTTCAAAAAAATGAAAGGCAAGCAGGGACTGCATCATGGCAGCGTCTTATTGATTGATGTGATTGGTACTTACATTATTAAATAGGTCATATATATATTATGATTATTTTATGATTATTTGACTCCTTTCTGTTTCAAGTGGAACAGAGGACTTCGAACCTGAGCTTTAAAGATTCAGTAGCAGTGGGGTGTAAATTTTATGGGGTGAAGTTGCTAATCTGACGCCCAACCTTCCCTTATTTATCGGGATTAAGACAGGCCAAGCAAGATTTCGAAATGAACCAGCCAGGAATCAAATCCTGGACTATATTCGTGGTTGGTGAAGATTCTGCCGCCGGACCACCCAAACACAATGGGAAACTATGATGAATTTTTACGTGTAACTGTGGAATTTCAAAAATTTAATTAGAATTCATAAAATTTAACTTCATATTCGAATTAATGAACTCTATCGGTTACAATTTTTCATAAGAGAATTCTGCGAAGTTAGCCACTCACTAGTGAGTGTTAGTAACAGTTTGTTGACATCAATAGCTCGAGTGTTATCAAATTCTCATCAAGGAGCGCGTCATGAGCTAATATGCCTAAGAAGTATTCGAACAGTGTTAAGTATTGCTGAGATCTTATCAGACTGCACAAATGTAAATAGTGTGAAGTAAAAGTGCTGTGGCATACATAATGGGGTAGAAAATCAATAAATTTTTATATATCCCTAATTTTGATTGGACACTAGTCAGTAACTAGTGTAATGTGTCTAGTCCTTTGTTTACTGCCAACTTAATTCTACCAGTCATGTTTGTAATGTGGTGAAGGCCAACATTCTGGTTGACTCGTCATCATGGTGCACTTTGAAGTGTTGATATTAGATGGTTGGAGGTCAGTTTGCACCAATTAATGGACTAGACACATAACACTAGTTACTAACTAGCTCAGTGGTAACGTCTCTGACTGCCCAATGGGTGATGCGGGTTCGAATCTCAGAAGGAGGGACATCAGTTCCTTCAAGGTTGCAGATACGCCTTGCTGACTGACTGGTGAGTGTCAACTAGAACGAAACCTGCATCTAAGGTTTCTTGCCAATTGCCTCCAACCATGTAATATCCCTAATTTTGGCTAGTCTTTACCCTATAATCTTAAAATAACCTTATTCTGCAGTTATCGTGCCTATGATGTATACTCTACTCCTTCTGAAAGCTGAATTCTTATTAGTTGTTAGCTCCTTAAACTCGCCTGTTGACCACTTCACTGATTTGGGAATTTGTATCAGTCAACCGTAATGAACTGGCCGCTGATGGAATCTCAGCAATGATACGAAAGGCCAGTATGACATTTTCCAGCTGACGCAATCTCTGATGCGGACGAAATATTCAGTTATTCATAAAGAGGACTATGGAGCACTATGGAGCAGTTTATCATGTCTTCCTCTACAGCAATGAAAGAGAAAGATGTGAGGACGCTAACCGCCTATGACCGGAGATATCCGTTTTCTGTCTCTTGGACTGAATGTTGAACTTCGGTGAGTAATAATGAGCTTAGTTGCACAGTGATAGGTGAGAAGGAGAAGCCAGTAGGTGGGATATGTGTCAAGCATGTCAAGTTATCACCACCCACATCAAGTGATGTCATCTGACATATAGTTAGGTTGGAAGAGAATTAGAGATAGTCAGATCAAAACTTGGCATCAGTCTATAAAGTCTCTTAAAGTTAGTCTCAACGAACCATATAGTGAGGTAGAGACTACCTGGTTAAGGTGCTCAAAGTGCGAATCACCAATGACTTGAAACTGTTGGTGTTATGGCTAAGAATCGTTGTTAATGGAGCAGATGTATTCACGCTTTGTAATCTCTATGATCCAATCACTGAGACGAAATCGAATGACCTATCCATTTAAACTTCTGCAAAATTCACAGTGTCATTGATAAGTATTCTTCCTCACAGCCAACCTGCTGGACCCCACTGGTTACAACTTTCCCCTAGAAATTCACAGTGCACTAAAGCGACTAATGGTCATGTTGTATATATCGCGAATTGGTAGGAGCTAGAAATGATGGGTCATTCGATTCTGTCCCTGTGGCTGAGTGATGAACGAGATAGTTATGTAACTTGAAGATCTTGGGTTTGATCCTTAACACTGAGGTCATGGGCCTGTACTGCAGAAGAATCGCAGCAAGGAAGAAACAGTTGTCTGATATTTTCTAGTTCTCTAACTGCAGCCAATTACTTAATTCATTAATTACTGAAAATTAAAATAAGTAATTTTACTTATATTTATTAAATAATTATATATTTGTAAAAATATATATGACTGCTTACTTGAAGTCTTTGCCAAATAGAAATCAGCCGTTGTGGATTCTCTGGATGATTTGCATCTGTCTGACAGGTACAATGATGTGCAAGCATGCCTAAATCATAGGCTAAAACTGTTGTGAATGTTGCCTCCTTGAAAAAGAAATTTTTAAAAAAACGTATGAGAAGAAGAAAACAAAAAGTGTGAGGTCAAAGAAAATGCAGAGATCAATAAATTTCTTTTGTATTCCTCTGCGTATAGGAATGCAACATAAAGCTTCAAGCCTCCACCTTTGAAGTTTCAGTAGAACAAGGCGTTATTCTTTTCCTTTCACGAAGTGGGGCTTGACGTCGGCTAGGCAAGGTTTAGTGCGTCGGTAGCACAGTGGTTAGGACTCTCGCCGACCATGTTCATGGTCTGGGGTTCTATCCCCGGCCACCAAAGCACTCCTTTACCTCGCTAAGCTTGTTATAAGACTGGTAAAGTGAGAAGGTTGAGCATAAGGCTAACAACTCCATCCTGTAAAAATAAACACCACTGCTACAGAAACTTCAAGCCACTAGCTTGAAGGTGCCCTATGTTCCATCGGGAACGTGAAGGAAAAAAAGACAAGATTTACGAGTGAGTCAGTTGAGGGTGAGTGAGTTGGCGAACATTCTACCTCCAAACTACCGATCCAAATAAAATAAACTTTTATTTTAAAAATGCTTCAGTCAATGCTCCATCGTCATTCTGCTATTTTTATAGAATATCTCAATAACATTTTCTTCTCGTAATATGGAACATACTACTAAAAGACTGTATAAAGTATAACAATCCGAAGGGGAGACTGTCTTGAAGCTGAGAAGTTGTACACAATTGTTTCTGGTCTCTTTGTCAACAATATATAGAAAAATAGAAGTACATTTGGCTATGAAATTCACATGCGAAGAGGAATCCCAAGACAGAATTGCCTTCCCAGATGTCCTCCTTACGAGAAAACCAGATGGTAGCATAAAAAGAAATTTGCATAGAAAAAGTACATGGACTGGACAATATACACATTTTCATAGCTTCGTTCCTATCAAATACAAAAGAAATTTAGTAAAGACCCTCAGCCACAGAGTTAGAGCTATATGCTCAGAAGAAGTGGTTGAAGATGAATTAAGCATTGTATATGATACTTTGATCGAAAATAGCTATCCCGAAAAATGTATCAAGAAACACATGACAAAGAAAGAGAAAAAGGACTACTTACTATCTGTAAACAAGAAGCCATTTTATTTACGACTACAATTCAAGGGCGATATACCAAGTGAGATAATTATGAGGAAGTTAAGAAAATCAGTTCAAAGACGTTTTAATGCTGGCGAACTACACTTATTATTCTCTAAATGACCGATGGTGGTAACTCGACTGGAAGATGAAGTACCTAGACTAGCTAGCCACTTCAAATTGTATCTACCAATTCAACTGCGCTTGTGGTTGAGCGAGTTATATCGGCCGTCACTTGATTTTTCGTGCTTCAGAACATCTCCCAGTATGGCTAAGTAAAGATGTAGTTAAAACCATTAACAGCTCGATATTAGACCATCTGGTGCAAACCGGCCACAAAGCCAGCGTGGAAGAATCCTTCTGTATAATCTACCGGGTGCCTAATAAATTGCCAAAATCATCGAAGCACCGCATGCTGCAAACAGTAGAGGCTATTGTAATTCGCCTCAAACAACCAATGCTCTGTGCTGAAAAGAAGCAAGTCCAGCCCCTACTATTGCCCTGGCCCTCAGTAAAGACTATAAACTCATAAATTTGTACCATTACCTTTCCTAATTCTTCTGACATTCAGTTTATTTTATGTTGATGCTGTTCAGCTGTAATTTATCAATATTATTGATTCGATGTTATTTAAACAACATTAATGTTGCTCATAACACTAATTCATTCATTCATCCACTATAATGTATATATAACTGTAGAGCCTGATGATGAAGTTATCGAAAAGAGTACTCTTTGTTCAGTATCCATTCTTTTGAAAATAGAAGTTATAATGTATGGTTCTCTGTAGACGAACTAAACTCTCTCAATCTAAACCTCATTTATAAAAAAGGGAGATATTATCTAATCTGGCAGTCTACGAATCAGTGTTTCTGGCGTGTTAGTCAAACAGTTTAGCAACTTGTATTCATTATTATTTAGTATTATTCCGAGTGAAGTATATGAGGCTTCGGCTATACATCTCCCCTTCACAACGTTCTCTGCAATCTTCACTTTAGGTGGCTTCACAATCTGTGAAAAAAACATTTACTTTTATTTTTTATTTTATTTTGATTACAGCTTGATGCCACACCGTATTTTCAGTACAAGTATGACATTTTCAGCATGGATATCGGTAGCCCAGATTTTGCAGGCCGACCATAGATATCAGGTGTGCGTCCTCTTCACATGGACTCCTTAATGTCGTCATTGGACCCACATCCACTTGACGGTCTGATGCGTGGTGTCAGTCAACGATCTTCACAGAGTTTCTGATCAATACCATCTCTATTTCCCTCTGGATATTTGGGGAGTATCAGGTTTTTAGTTCGTTCATTGCCAGAGATCCTGGTTACTTATCCTTTAAGGTCAGCTGGTCACCTGATCTTCAGTATTAAATGAAGCCAACTATTATTGTTATTATTATTTTGATTATAGCTTGATTCTTCACAGTACTTTTGGTACATGTATGGAATTTTCAGCATGTGATATCGGTAGTCCAAATCTGGTATGCCAACGAATAATATCTGGTGTTCGTCGGCCAGGAATCGAACCCCGTACCATTTGTATGGTCGGCGAGAGTCCTAACCACTGTGCCACCGACGCACACACACAACACACAGTCACCTGTTTACAGTTGGTGTCATCCTTCAGAAAGTTATGTCACTCAATAATCACCCCGTCATGCATTTGATCCATCGACATTTTCTTCAATATATTAGCTAGATAACAGCTACTTGTTTGATTCGTTCCTTCCTAGAGTTCCTCGATGTTAAGGCATTTTGGCTGTCCAATATGTACCATCAAGACAACGAAGGCAGATGTTGATGAAAGTGTCAAGTCTGTGAGAAATGTTACTGCTGATACCTAATTCTCGACTCTGAGAAATATAGAAGCACTGAATCAAAACTTGTGTTGAACAACCGAATCTTGTCCCTTATACTGACTGTAGCCAATTTTAACACTGATTTCTGAGCAATGATTAACTGTCTTGCTCTTACTAAATTGCTGGGTTTGATTTCCTCATCCATGCCACATATTTAGTTGAAATGATCCTGCCTATATAAGTGGATAAGAAGACCTCGTTCAAATTTATCAATTTGGTAGCGAAAGATATATATCGTTGTAGTTGGTTGGCTGGTTATCCAATCATATCTGTCTTGTCGATATCCACATGAAGTTCTGAATTTGATGCAGGCCCCTGCTGCAAAATTTTTGGATTTTTCTCGTATGTATTCAAGTTTGTGTCACATGGGAGATATATCCTCCCCAAAATCAAGAACATCTAGTAATTTCTTACTAATCACAAGCATTCTTACGTTATCACGCCAAACGCACAGATTCTAAAATCATCCAGTACAACATAATCAAGAATATCACCATCAACGATAATTGGCAGCATCATTGTCTTACACTACTTTAGCTGCAAAGGTGTTGACGAGTTTTCTGTTGTGGACCACGTGACATGCGATATTTTTATATACAGCTGTTGAATACGATTGAAGAAGATTTGAGAAAATGCACTACGTGGTGGCTAAGTAGTTTCCAGATTACCTCAAGATCAACAGTGGCAAGTGTCTCTACAAAACAATCAGTGAAGTTGAGGCAAGAATTCACATAGTACGAAAAGCAAAATTGACCGCTTCAGCCATTATTCTACCAACTGGGACATTAGGACATTATTAAGGTTGACCATCTTCACCTCTGTGAAAACAGATATCAATCAGAGAGATAAAACCAACCGACACCTACGCGTTTACATTTCAAACACACTCACTGACTGCTATATATAAATATATATATATATATATATATATATATATATATATATATGTATATATATATATACTGGTGAAATAATAGATGAACACTAATCACAATTAGAATCAATTCACAAAAAAATAATAAACACGGCTAATTATAGAAACACGGAAACAATAATAGTCATGAGAGAAAAGAAGGCAACGACACATCCACAATGATAAACTAAAAATAGAAGCGAAACACAGCAGTAGGAAGAGAAACACAGTAGGAGAGAGAGAGAAAAGGAGAGACAAAAACAGAGAAGCAAACGTCAGAATTACTTAGGAAGAAACCAAGCCAACAAACCAACAAACAAACAAATGAGAGTCAAATAACGCAATACATGAATAGTAGTGGTAGTAGTATTAGTGGTTGTTGTTGTTGTTGTTGTTTTGGGATTAGCGTGGGATATAATGCGTGTTATTTTTAGCAACAATGATTACATTATCAAAATTCTTTAGTATATTTATGTATGCTGCGATTATTTTTGTTGGTTTCCTGCTCAGATTACAAACAAAAGATGGCATAGGCAGCAGCAGTAAGCGATTATTTTACGTCAGAGAATAAATATAAATAGACGTGATTTTAATAGCATGACTGTACACTCTTCACTTGTGTTGAATTCATCTGTGATTCTCCCATGGATTCACTTCGTTTGAGTGTAATGTGTTCTGTCACAGTTGACAGGCTGTCTTTTAGTACTCAAGTTTCAACAATGTCTGAGAATTAACCGCAAGTAACAATCAAAAAAGTGCATTTCGTTCTATTTATGACCACCCGTCATCTGGATACACCGCCAAACCGCACTCAGTGAAGACGGTTTACCAAAGGACCGGGAATCCAGTAACCATCGTCTCACTAGACCACTAAGAGCAACTCTGCATACTGGCTTCGAGTTTCAGTGGGAACACCAGACTCACTCATTTCACTGAGAATTCTGGTGTACATCCTGGATTCCATTGCTAGTCACCATTCACTCAATTACTTCTACTAGCTCACAGTTCTACTGTTCTCCTGCTGTCAACCATTTCGAGATTGAGGAGAATTTCCACTTCATATGTGGAGTGTACAGTACTTATAGAAACAGATATATAAGTAGTATATACTGTCAGATATT